AGTATTTACTGAGCACCTAGAAAGTGCTAAACACTGCATAATCCTCACAAGCTCCTTAAGGAGTGTGTACTGCTTGGGGAGTCTGTAAGAGAAGTGCAGCATCTTGGGACCAGGTGCTGCAGATGGGCCAGAGCCTGTTTTTCCGTGTTATGCTTTCATTCATTCATTTCACACATGTTTATGAAGCATCCCCGGGCTGGTGTCTGTTAGCTACCAGTGGTACAGCCTTCAAGAACCCAGACTCGGAACCCCAGTCTAGCAGGGGCACCGGGGTGGCCAGTGGTTAAGCATCTGTGTTTGGCTCAGGTCTGGATCCCAGGATTGAGCCCCGAGGTGGGCTCCCTCCCGGTTTGGTGGGGAGTCTGCTTCTCTCTCTCCCTCTGCCCCTCCCCCTGCTTGTGCTGCCTCTTGCTCACTCTCTCTATCAAATAAAAACAACAAGAACAACAAAAACTCAAGCTCAGAATCCCAGCCTAACCAGAGGAGATCAACAATAAACAAGTGAGGAAACACCCAAGATAAATACAACCTGCGAAGAGAGTTCTTTCATGGACTACCCTGGGTCCAGGATGGTGGAACAGAGGCCTGTTTAGATGTGGTGACCGGCCGGGAAGGCTTTTTTGAGGTGACATTCGAGCTGAGACAAAAGAATGAAGAAGCTATAGAATCTGCAGAAACTTGCTGGGGTGGGGGCACTTCAGGCTAAGTAAACAGCAAATCCAAGTACCCTGGAGCAAAAAGTGTTCAGACAAAGTAACTTGATAAATCCTAAGATCAAGTGGATGTTGTCAGGCACTAGAGAGATAAGACTGGGTTGGGGCACCTGGCTGGCTTAGTCAGGAGAGCATGCAACTCTTGATCTCTGGTTGTAAGTTCAAGACCCATGTTGCCGGTAGAGTTTTACTTAATTTTTAAAAAGTAAGAAAAGAGAGAGAGAGAGAGAGAGGGAGAGAGAGAGAGACTTAAAGCACACAGGGCTCAGATCAAGTCAGGCCTTATAAACCTTGGTAAGGTGCTTGAATTTTTTATTTTTATTTTTATTTTTTAGATTTTATTTAGGGACACCTGGGTGGCTCAGCGGTTGATTTTATTTATTTATTTATTTATTTGAGAGAGAAACAGAATAGGAGTGGGGGCGGGGAGGGGGGGCAAAGGGAGAGGGAGAAGCAGGCTCTCTGCTGAGCAGGGAACCTGATGCTGAGCTCAGTCCCAGGACTTCGAGATCATGACCCCAGCAGAAGGCAGACACTTAACCGACTGAGGCACCCAGGAGCCCCAGGGTGTTTGAATTTTATTCTTGGAGCAATGGGAAGCCACTGTAGGGCCTTTAAATAAATGAGGAAAATTACATCTGAATTATGGGGTTTTTTTTGAGAAGATTTACTTATATACAGGGCGCCTGGGTGGCTCCCTGCTCAGCGTGGAGTCTGCTGTTCCTTCTCCCTCTGCCCCCCACCCTGCTTGCACTGTCTCACTTAGGCTCTCTCTCTCAAAATTAATTTTTCTTCCAAGATTTTAGGTATTTGAAAGAGAGAAAGCAAGAGACAAAGCATAAACTGAGGGGAGGGCCAAGGGAGAAGAAGAAGCAGACTCCACGCTGAGCAGGAAGCTGGATGGGGACTGGATCCCAGGACTCTGGGATCATAACCTGAGCCAAAGGCAGATGACAGAGCCACCTGGATGCCCCAATAAATAAAGTATTTGTTAAAAGATTTATTTATTTATTGGGGGGAAGGGGCAGAGAGAGATGGAGAGACAAAATTTTGAGCAGACTCACCACTGAGTGCAGAGCCCTATGAGGGGCTGATCCTGTGACCCTGAGATCATGGACCAGAGCCAAAATCGAGTTGGAAATTATTATTTTTTTAAAGATTTTATTTATTTATTCATGAGAGACACAGACAGAGAAAGAGAGAGGCAGAGACAGGCAGAGGGAGAAGCAGGCTCCATGCAGGGAGCCTGACATGGGACTCGATCCCGGGTCTGCAGGATCACGACCTGGGCTGAAGGTGGTGCTAGACCACTGAGCCACCTGGGCTGCCCTCCAGTTGGAAATTAAAAAGTGGTTGCATTAATTTAGGTGAGAGATGGAGATGAAAACAATTAGGTGATAGTAGTAGAGCTGGAGAGAGGTAAATGGATTCACAACACTTTGTAGACAAAACTGAGTTTGGGATTTTATGAAGAGGATGAATCCTTGTTGTTTTTTAACAACTGGGTGATGCTAATTCATATGTTGGGTAAGATTGTGGGGGAGGAACAGGTTCGGTTGATAAAATCAAGAGCTCCAGTTTAGATATACTATTCTGATATGTCAGTGAGACCGCCAAGTGGTGAGGTCTACTAAGTAGTTGAATTTATGAGATGGGAACTTAAGAGGATAGACCTACCCTACTGTGGAAATCCAAATTTAAAGATGATTAGTAGTTAGATAATATTTGGTGTTGAATAGATTATCTATATTAGGAGAGAACAGAATTTAAAGAGTTTCTAGAAATGAGCTCTGAAATATCTCAGCATTCAGAAGGCCTATGAAGGAGGAGTCAGCAACAGAGAGGGATCCCTGATACAGGAGAAAAATCATCAGTGTGGTGTCACAGAGGCCAGTGAGAAAAGTGTTTTTCGTGAAAGAGGACCATCCATGTGGAACGTTGCTAACAGGTAAGAAGAGATGATTATAGAGAAGCAGTTATGGGATTTTGCAACACGTGGATCACTGGCATTCTTGGCAAGGCATCCTTTAAGGGGAGAAGGGTAGACAGATTGGGGTGGATTTAAGAGGAAATTGAGGTGAGGAAATGGAGACCTCTAGTGTAGACAACTTGCTTTGGTTTTGTAAAGAGGACTGGAGAAATGAGATCAAAGGATGAGGGAAACTTTTGTTTATTTTTAAGATGACAGTGTTCAAAAAAAAAAAAAAAAGACGACAGTGTTCCAGTAGAAGTCATTGATGATACACCAAGGCAAAATCCTTGAGAAGGCGGGTGGGGGGATTGGGGGGTAGGATCCACAGCACTAGGGGAGGGGTCTGCCCTTTGACAAGAACAAAGACACATTTTCATGGTATCCGGAAGGAAGACAGAGAGGACAGGTACAAATACAAGGAGGCTGGAGGCTTCCAGTTGGATGAAAATGTTCCCCTCTGATGATTTTTATCTTCTCAAAGAAATAGAAGAATTAGTTATGGTGAAGTGAGAGAAGGTTCAGGAGTTAGAAGAAACAAAGCATGAAATACACTATTTCTGGAAGTGAGGAAGTGGGAAAATGACTTTAGTGAGATTCACTAAGATTGCCAAAAAAAAAAAAAAGTCAGAAAGAAAAAAAATCTGATGCCCTTTGAGGCTTGTGGTCAAGACTTTATTTATTTATTTGTTTGTTTATTTATTTATTTATTTATTTATTTATTTATTTATTTATTTATTTTAAGACTTTAAAGTGAAAGCCTCTGCTCTTCCCTTAAGCAGGTGAACAGTAGGTCCAACTGGAACTGGGGTTTTACCAAGTGAGTATGATGGACAAAGAGAGAAACAAGAATCGTATGTGTAAGCAATCATAACATCTAAACCTGGTGACAGAGGATATGAATATAAGAATGGGGGAGGTGGTGAAAGAGTAGTACGTTGACCGATTTGGAGGTTTTGGGGGGGAAGTCAAACAATCGGAGTTACTATTGATGGGACAGTTGAGATTCTCGAAAGGAAATTTTAGGGACGCTGTAGCTCCCGGCAGTGACAAGGACAAGAGGACTGTGATGCGGGTTGGGCGCCCACTAGGGACAGGAGGGAAGGGAAGGCTGTGGGGGTGAAGAACTGGCAGAGTATTGGGTAGTCGTTCAAACAGGTGTTGAACGATGAGAAGTCGAGATGGGAAGGAGGACAGTGCGCCCCGAGCTAGGATGCAGGGAGGACGGATCCATCAGGACGGTAACCAAGACGAGTATTACAGGATTTAGCCAAGGTACTTCAGAGTTAAGAATTTGAAGTAGGGCATCCAGATACTTCTCATTGTTGGATTCCAAAGAAATATATATATTTAGGATTTTATGTATTTATTCATCAGAGATACAGAGAGAGAGGCATAAACACAGGCAGAAGGAGATGCAGGCTCCATGCAGGGAGCCCGACGTGGGCCTCGATCCCGTGACCCCGGGGTCACGCCCTGGGCCGCAGGCAAGTGGTCAACCGCTGAGCCACCCAGGGATCCCCTTATTTTATGTTTTAAAAGATTTTATTTATTCATTCATAGAGACATAGGGAGAGACAGAGGCAGAGACACAGGCGGAGGGAGAAGCAGGCCCCATGCTGGGAGCCCGACGCGGGACTGGATCCCGTGACCCGGGGTCACGCCCTGGGCCGCAGGCAGGTGCTCAACCGCCGAGCCCCGGGCGGCCCCGGAAGACCTATTGCCACATCGTAACCTTAAAGTGTCTTCCGAGGTCAGAAGGTGTCGAGCGCTGGTGGAATCAGGGAAAATGTTACAGTCCTCGGGCGACTTGCGTTAGAGTTGCAGGCGCGGCAGCACGGGTCCTTCCGAGCGCAGGCCGCCCCCCGCGGGGCCTCTGTCCAGGCACCATCTCGCGTGCGCGCGGAGCCTGAGGACCCCACACCCCATTCCGAGGGCGCCGCGCGGGGCGGGTTGCACGCTGAGCGGCCAGCGGCGCTGGGGGTCCGGCCGGAGGACGGGGTGGGCGACCTCCCTCCGCGGGAGCGGTCGGGCCCTGCTGAGCACGCAACGTTGGTCTGCGGACCCCTTTCAAATTTCTGGCAGCAAATCGCAGCGGCCTCCGGCCAACTCCTCTCCCGTTCATTGGCCACCTGGAAACTCCAGCCCCTCCGCTCCGCCGGAAGCCAATCGGCAGCAGCGGCGCTCCGTCACCCGGCGCAATCGCCGACCGCGCGTGCCATTGGCCCAGGGAGTTGCCGATCGACGGGTAGGCGGGGCCGCGGCGGCCGGCCTATATAAGCGGAGGACAAAGGCGGCGCGCCGCCTGTGTCATCCGCCATCTTGTGCGAAGCAAGGTGGCCTCCACGTTCCCCGAGCGTCTTCTCCGCTTCTGCCTCGACCGCCCCTTGATCACAGATATGTCTCGGGACCGGTTCCGGAGCCGCGGCGGCGGCGGCGGCGGCTTCCACCGGCGCGGAGGCGGCGGCGGCCGCGGTGGCCTCCACGACTTCCGCTCCCCGCCGCCCGGCATGGGCCTCAATCAGACCCGGGGACCCATGGGGCCCGGCCCGGGCCAGGGCGGCCCCAAGCCCCCGATCCCGCCACCACCTCCGCACCAGCAACAGCAGCAGCCGCCGCCGCAGCAGCCGCCGCCGCAGCAGCCCCCGCCGCTTCAGCCGCCGCCGCATCAGCCGCCGCATCAGCAGCCGCCGCCGCCGCAGGACTCGTCCAAGCCTGTGGGTCCTCAGGGGCCCGGGCCGGCGCCGGGAGTGGGCAGCGCGCCGCCGGCCTCCGGCTCGGCACCGCCCGCGACTCCTCCGACTTCGGGGGCCCCAGCGGGCCCGGGCCCCACCCCGACCCCGCCGCCCGCCGTCACCTCGGCGCCGCCTGGGGCGCCCCCGCCCGCGCCGCCGAGCAGCGGGGTCCCCACCACCCCGCCCCAGGCCGGGGGCCCGCCGCCTCCGTCCGCAGGGGGCCCGGGCCCGGGGCCTAAACAGGGCCCAGGCCCCGGAGGCCCGAAAGGCGGCAAAATGCCGGGCGGGCCGAAGCCCGGCGGCGGCCCGGGCCTGAGTACCCCCGGCGGCCACCCCAAGCCGCCGCACCGGGGCGGGGGGGAGCCGCGTGGAGGGCGGCAGCACCACCCGCCCTACCACCAGCAGCACCACCAGGGGCCCCCGCCCGGCGGGCCCGGCGGCCGCAGCGAGGAGAAGATCTCCGACTCGGAGGTGAGTGTCCCCCACCCCCCGCCCCGGACTTCGCGGCGGTGTCCCTAAGATGGCGGCGACCCCCGCCTCCTTCCCTTCCTGGCCTCCATTTTGTCGGGGACCGGAAGAGGCGCGTGCGCGTGCGCGGCGGCGGGGGCGGGGCCCGGGAGCCTGAGGAGGGCTGCGAGGCCGGGGGCGTTGCGGCCTGCAGGGCGCAGGCACGCGTCAGGTGGGGGTCGGCGCGGCGCCGAGGCCTCGACTTTCTCATCTGGCGCTTGCCGCGGCGGTTGCTGTTGGTGAGGGCCTCGCCGTCGGCGGCTGAGGGGGTAGCTCGTGTGGAGTGGAGCCTGGAGCGGCCAGCCGTCGGTGCTGCTGGCCTGGGCGCCCCGCCGGTGCAGGGAAATGGCGAGCTTGACCCCGGATGGGGCCGAGGAGCCCCCCGATCGAAGCGGTCACGGGTCCGAGAGGAGTGAGCCTTGTCGCCGGGGTTTTCCTACCCGCGGAGGTCACCGGTGTCTGAACGGCTCCTTCCTGTTCCGTTAGGGGTTCAAAGCCAACTTGTCGCTCCTGAGGAGGCCCGGAGAGAAAACCTACACGCAGCGCTGCCGGTTGTTTGTAGGGAATCTACCTGCTGACATCACGGAGGATGAATTCAAAAGACTCTTTGCTAAATACGGAGAACCAGGAGAAGTTTTTATCAACAAAGGCAAAGGATTTGGATTTATTAAACTTGTGAGTTGTTTGGTGTTTTTTTTTTTTTTTTCCTTTTTTAAGATTTCGTTCATTCATGAGAGAGGCAGAGGCAGAGGGAGAAACAGGCTCCATGCGGGGAGCCTGACGTGGGTGGGACTCCATCCCGGGTCTCCAGGATCACGCCCTGGGCGGAAGGCGGTCTAAGCCGCTGGGCCACCCGTCCTTCCCAGTAATTCTATTTTAAAAGAATTTAAATTCTTCTAAAAGAATTTTAAATTCTATTTTTTTTTTTAACTTCGTTTACTTATTTATTCATGACAGAGAGGGTGGGGGCAGAGACACTGGCAGTGGGAGAAGCAGGCTCCATGCAGGGAGCCCGACGTGTGACTCGATCCCGGGTCTCCAGGATCGCGCCCTGGGCGGAAGGCGGCGCCAAACCCCTGAGCCACCCGGGCTGCCCTGGTTTTGGGGGATTTTCTTTGATGTGGATTTGGAAGGTTTTCCTTGTTTATTAGCTATTACAAACTCTAATGTTCAGACCAACAGTAATAAGTTGGTTTTTAAATTTTTCATCATTTTTCTGGAAAAGATGCAATTACTGCGTGGTGAATGATTGTTGATAATCTAAGTGAAGAGGTTGGTGGGTGGGTAAGAACTCTACCCACGGGGGGGGGGGTTCGGCAATTGGGGGGGCTCACTGAAGATGCTTGAACTGAGCTGGAGGAAGGAGTGGGAGTTAGGTTTTTGACAGTTAAATGGGCGTTAGCTAGCGTTGAGGTCGTTAACTTGAGTCTGGTATTTTCAGGAATCTAGGGCATTGGCTGAAATTGCCAAAGCTGAACTGGATGATACACCCATGAGGGGTAGGCAGCTTCGGGTTCGCTTTGCCACACATGCTGCTGCCCTGTCTGTGCGAAATCTTTCACCTTATGTTTCCAATGAACTGTTGGAAGAAGCCTTTAGCCAATTTGGTCCTATTGAGAGGGCTGTTGTAATCGTGGATGATCGTGGGAGATCTACAGGGAAAGGCATTGTTGAATTTGCTTCTAAACCAGCGGCAAGAAAAGCATTTGAAAGATGCAGCGAAGGTGTTTTCTTACTGACAACGTAAGTTCTTACGTTATTCTACTTTTTATTAACTTGGAGAAATTGAGATAAAAACTGAAACCATTTAAGACGGGAACCATTTTTGTTGTTAGAACACCTCGTCCAGTCATTGTGGAACCACTTGAACAATTAGATGATGAAGATGGCCTTCCTGAAAAACTTGCACAGAAGAATCCAATGTATCAAAAGTAAGATTGGTTTATTTATTTTTAAAAGATTTTATCTATTCACAAGAAAGAGAGAGAGAGGCAGAGACACAGGCAGAGGGAGAAGCAGGCTCCATGCCGGGAGCCCGATGCGGGACTCAATCCCAGAACCCAAGATCACGCCCTGGGCCAAAGTCAGGCACTCAACCACTGAGCCACCCAGGCGTCCCAAATTGGTTTATTCTAAGTTTTTTTTTTTTTTTTTTTTTTCCCATTGCAAATGGGAACTCTAGTAATTTTTCAGTTTTGTATAGAGAATACAAAATTCTTTGGAATGCATGTGCTTGGTAGAACTTTTAAGGCTCAGGAAGTAGATGTTCAAATGCTTAGTGTTTGTTGCTAAGATAGGTATATTTTATATGCAGTTTTGTTTTGTCCTTAAAACCACTGCATGATGAATAGGTGTTTCCCTTTTTAAGGATGGAAAATAACGTTCTTGATTAAGAATTGGTTAAATAAACAATTTAAAAACTTTTATATTTTGTAGACTTATTTGAGACCATGAGCCAAGTGGGCTTTGGGGTGAGGGTGGAGAGTAGAGGGAAAGAATATCAAGGGTGCTCTACAGGGCTCAGTCTCATGGCTCAGATGCTCCACTGACTGAGCCACCCAGGTGGAACACTTCATTTTGGATGTAATGCTATGTTACATGAACCAAGGTGGTCTTTGCTTGGCTTTTTTTTTTTTTTTTTTTTTTTTTTTTGCCTTTTTCTTTTTGGCATTTCTTAACAAGTGATAGACTAGGGAGGGAAGTCCGCATTTTGGGGGCAAATCAGGTAGTATTTCTTGTGGGCACCCACAAATCGGTTAATGTTTAAATATTGTTAGGGAGAGAGAAACACCTCCTCGTTTTGCCCAGCATGGCACATTTGAGTATGAATATTCTCAGCGATGGAAGTCCCTGGATGAAATGGAAAAACAGCAAAGGGAACAAGTTGAAAAAAACATGAAAGATGCGAAAGACAAATTGGAAAGTGAAATGGAAGATGCCTATCATGAGCATCAGGCAAATCTTTTGCGTCAAGGTAAAAGATTTTCTTGTGTAAATTTCACTGATAGGATCAGTTGCCTTTTGCACTTTAGAACTCCATTAATGTGAATTCAAAACAATTTTTTAATGTTCAGATCTGATGAGACGCCAGGAAGAATTAAGACGCATGGAAGAACTTCACAATCAAGAAATGCAGAAACGTAAAGAAATGCAACTAAGGTAAAATTTTGTTAGGCTATTAAGTCTTTTTTTCTGTGTTTTTTTTTTTTTTTTCTTTTTTTCTGTGTTAATGTTTAGAGGAAAAGATAAATTTTGCAAGTGAGTCTGATGGGGTTAGGGAGAGGTTAAATGCTATTATGTCTGTATTGGCTTAACACTAAGTTGGAGTAGATGTAGGCTTTCCGTTGTTGATGCCTGTTTTCTTTGCCAGCATGTTTCTAAGGCTACTCTCCATTTTCCAGGCCTTTCATGTGTGTTTGCTCTAATCTAGACTTTGTTAAAGCTCTGAGGCAAATTTCTAGCTTTCTTCAAATTGACTTTTTAAAAGATGTGGATGACGCTTCAGTTTACATGCTTGATGAATATTTCCAGGCAAGAAGAAGAACGGCGTAGAAGGGAAGAAGAGATGATGATTCGGCAGCGTGAGATGGAAGAACAAATGAGACGCCAAAGAGAGGAAAGTTATAGCCGGATGGGCTACATGGATCCAGTAAGTAAAATCCTATTGAAATGTAATTGGAATTGTCTACAAAACTTGTAGGTACCTAAAATCACATTTTACTCAATTTATTATGACACTTCACATTTCTGTTGTTCTTTTTATGAATGTATTATGATTAATATGCCTTGAGTTTTATCTTTTTGGCTGGGCCTAAAGATTTCATTGGTTTAGGAAGAAGCTTTATGGGTTTTATAATTCTTTTAAATATAGTCATAACTTTTTGAGTCTTGGAAATTTTTTTTGTTTTTTCAAGTATTATTGGTATGGATAGAGTACAGGTGTATGAAAGGATTTTATTTTCTTGTAGAGAGAAAGAGACATGAGAATGGGTGGTGGAGGAGCAATGAACATGGGAGGTAAGCATGAAAATCGAATTAGCGATACCATTTGAGAGCAGTATTCTGGTTGGTTTATAACCAGCATTTTTGTTTCATAGATCCCTATGGTTCAGGAGGCCAGAAATTTCCACCTCTAGGTGGTGGTGGTGGCATAGGTTATGAAGCTAATCCTGGAGTCCCACCAGCAACCATGAGTGGTTCCATGATGGGAAGCGACATGGTAATGTATCCTGTGTGACGTAGTACAAAGGAAATTCTCATTTTTCACAACTTAATGTGTGTGTGTTTTGTTTTTTGTTTTTTGTTTTGTTTTTTTTTTTTTGTTTTTTTAAGTAGGTAACTGGACCTCTTTTTTAGTTCCCTTATGTAAATCATAATCTCAAGGAGTATTTTGGCAACATAGAAGATCTCAGTGTGCGGTAACCTAAACTGAAACGGTTGCCAACAAGAAGTCAATGCTGTCAGTAGTATGTTGGAATTCTCTTTGGTAATAAGTAGACATAGGGGCTTTCCATTATATTGCTTGTGTACTTTTGCACTCTAGCACATGGCAAATCCAAATTCTAAATGTTAGATGACGTACCTGATTATTCTACATTCAAGTGAGAGTAATCACATGGCAAACTGTCATTCATTAAGTTGGTATTTGCCATAAGTATGAATCAGACTTGTAGTTTATAGCTTTAGGCATGTTCTAGTGATGTGTAGGACTTTGACCTATATTTGGTGTGGTTTCTACCCATGAAAAGGGAGTTGTTTACTGTTTTGACTCGTCGTTTCCCACTTGTTGGGCCTGTCAATAGGTGCACCTTCTAAAATAAACTGACATCTCTATTTTGCTACAGGATAGTAAAAACCAATGACAATTTTAAGCATACTAGTTGTGTGCATTTGATCTGAACCTTCTTGATGCTTTCATATTATAACTGTACAGATAGCCTGTCAGGATGCTTTAGAACCACCAAGTGAATTGGTTGGAGTGGCTGTGTTAGGGCCTTAACAAATCCGAAGGAAAATTGAATATTGGATTTAGAGGTGGGCTTAGAGAAGAGTGCATTTTCACAAGTGAACTGAATCTTGATTGGTTCACCTGCAGGCTTTTGGCAAAGGAGGGAAGCTGCAGCACCTAGCTCGTTAGATTCATCTTTAACATAGGAATATAAAGAAATAGTATGGGGCCTCATCTGCTTAAAATCTATTTAAGGTTTTTTGAGAATTGGAATCGTAAGTAGCTGTTTGGGTTAAACATAGTGTTACTAGCTTTCTTTTAAATTTAGAAAATAAATGTGGGTAACATTTGGTTTATATGCTTCCGGAAAGGTAGATTGTAGGTCTGTATCAAATTCGTAAAACGTAATTTGACGTGATGTTCCCACAATTAAGGTTCTTTATATGTCCCGTGTAATGGGTAGGGTTCTAAGATGTTGCAATAACGTAATTGTGAAACCCCAAAATTTTCTAACCGCTTTTGAGATAACGTAGCACAATGCGCTAAAACCTTGAAATTTTTAGAATTTTGAGAAATAGTTTAAGGGATTGAGTTTTAGATTTTTAAGTAGCCATGTATAGTATTTAGTAGGAAACATGTTGGAACTATGTATAGGAACAGTTAAACCCTGATGCTCCCCCCCCCCCCCCAATTTTTGGAGTGTTGCTCTTAGTAACTGATTTATTTTGAATGGGATTTGAAAGATAGTTGAGGCTTCTGTGGTTTGCATATGTATAAGGTTTTTCTGTTTGAGGAACATAGGTTTCTCAGATTAGAAGTACTTAAAACTAAATGGAATAATAAAATCCTGCTTTATTGCAGTCATTTAAGATTGGTGTTTAGGCTGTTGGGGAGATAGCCAAAACGTGGCATCATAGCTAAATGCCTGTGGGCTTTCAAAGACCTGAAGGAAAAGCTGGGACAGTGTGGGGGTGGGCTGTGTATTCAGTCAGTTTGCAACAATACAGACTACTACTGTGAACATAATTGTCTCTGGTTATCTGGTTATATAGTGATGTTTCTGAAGGTGGTATATTTGTGAGAATATGGCAACACTTTAAATGAAGTTACTGTGCCGGTTAAGTGACTAAATCTATTAGTCTTTTATGCTTTTTCTTTTTGTAGTCTGGTAGCATTTTATTAAAACTTTGAACCTTTTAAGATTTCTGCAACTTAGCAGATGTGTCTTAAGATCTTGAAAAGCACAAGGTTTCTTAAGCAGCTCATGCCACTAACTGGTGAGTAGGTCTTTGTCACTTCATTGAGTGCATTGAATCTGTCTGGTTGGGCTTGTTAGGCTTACTTGGAAATTAAATTTCCTGTTGAGACCTTGAAAGTGAGAAGTTTGCAAGCTTTTCCAGTGGGTTATTAATCTGATGTGAAATTTCGTAAAACTCATTTTGGAATGGGTTTTCACATCTGCACTAATTTCTTAAATTTTTTAGCACTACAGGGAAGACCTATTCTTTGAAACAGGTGTATGAGAATGGCTCAAGTGGGAACATACCACAAGGCATGTATTATCGTAAACTAATTTTCAAATTACCCTTTTTTCCTTTCTATGTTCCCGGTACCTGTGGATCGACTCATTGGTGATTGTATCGACGAACGTTGACTACGGAACCTTCTAAAATATTTACTTAACAAACACATGGACATCAACTACATATAATGAACTGTTAATTACTGTTCCAATAGCGTACTGAGCGCTTTGGGCAGGGAGGTGCGGGACCCGTGGGTGGACAGGGTCCTAGAGGAATGGGGCCTGGAACTCCAGCAGGATATGGTAGAGGGAGAGAAGAGTATGAAGGCCCAAACAAAAAGCCCCGATTTTAGATGTGATATCTAGGTTTTCATTCCAGTTTGTTTTTGTCTTTTCTTGTTTAGATACCAATCTTTTAAATTCTTGCATTTTAGTAAGAAAGCTACCTTTTTATGGATGTTAGCAGTTTATTGACCTAATATTTGTAAATGGTCTGTTTGGGCAGGTAAAATTATGTAATGCAGTGTTTCAAACAGGGGAATTTTTTTCCTTTTTATTTCCTTTTTTTTTTTTAAACTGTATAATGTCCCTCAAGTTATGGCAGTGTACCTTGTGCCACTGAATTTCCAAAGTGTACCAATTTTTTTTTTACTGTGCTTCAAATAAATAGAAAAAATAGTTATAATATGGATCTTCAACTTTGCCATTCATGCTTCTATGCACATTAGGCTAGGTATTCCACTTTGAAAGCATGAGCGTGTCTAGGCCTTTGAATGGCACATGCCATTTCTGGGAAATGTATCTGTAGGCTAAGTATTGCTTTCTAAAAATAAGTAACCCCTTGTTTTAAAAAGAAGAAATGCATATTGAAGTAGTTTCATGATTTGATTTGTTTGGCATTATAGGAAGCAAGCTGGTGCTAAGTATTTTTAAATGGTTATATAAGCAAGCTGAACTGTAAATCTTCAGGAATGTGTATTAAGATTATGGAATGGGTGAAAGACTTGATAGGGGAGAAAGTGGGTATGACTAAATGGATCTTTATGGCCCTATGATCTATCCTTTCCTTGAAAGTTTCTGAAGAAAAGTGGAAAGATCATTCTGTTGCATTCCTCCATTCTTGTTTTTAAAAGAACAAGTCCCAAGCCCTACAAATGGCTTGTACTGAACTTTCACATTTGAATTAAAGATTGTTAAACATGAAGCCTTTTCATGTATTACTTCAAGCGATTTATGAAGATGGGGATTTAGTCTGAAAAAAGCAACTTGAAAGTAAGCGTAGTAACCATAAAGTAGGTGTAGCTATGTATACATTTGTACTCTGTAACTTTTACATCTCCTTGTGCTACTGCTGGTGGGCAAAATCTGTAGGACTATAAAAATCTTGTTCTCTTGTCTAAGAACTAGTGGTGACTGTAAATGACAAATAGGGTTGCAGATAACGATTCTTACTGTAAAATATTTGTTAACCTGTTTTTCCATAGTTTACTTTCGATGTAGCACTAAATCTGGAGAGAGTTGCTCATGCTACACAGTACAAGTAGCCCTTTCTCCCACCATAAAGTTTTGGAGTGTTTCGATGGTGTTGTCAGTTGTCAACTTCATTGAATCTCCTTCCATTAGGATAAGACAGTCTGACTTACTACTACAGTAGATTGTTACTGTTGACTGTTAGTACGACGGGAACCTGTTGTCCCAGTGTTATATATGTTAGCAGAGGAACGACTTCCTAAAAGTAGGTAAAGTAACTGAACGGTTTGGCTTTGTTTTTAGATGTGTCCATTCAAATTTGTACATTACAGATCTCTTCCTACGGAATGTGTCTTCCTCCTTTTCACCTCTGTTGTTGGTGCTAATTGGCAAAAGTAAAATTCTAAATCAAATCTTGGTTAAAATGCTGAAGGTCAGTATTGTGCCTGAGTACAAAGGGAGACCTATCGTTGAAACAATTGAACACTTTGTGCATAGGAAACTGGGTAATACTCAAAGTAACACTAGTGGAGTATAAAGGCATGTCACTCAATTCTGGTTGTGTGACTGACAGGTACATTGTGTGCTAATTAAGGAAGAGAATCTCCTTAGAAAATGCTCATTATTTCTTCACCAAGAAAGACACTTGGAAATGGGTAGTAGTTCTACCATAATTCTATCAATGAGGAAGTTTTGTCCTAAGTCATTAATTGGTGATATGCATGAGGTTTTCTGTATGGAAACAAGGGTCTGGATTGGAAAGGAATCCATTACAATTTGATTGAATTGTATGGTAGGGACTCCACTAATGATAAAATAAGGGGTGTTCATGGGACACCCATAGAGGGTGAACTTGAATGTGTGTGGGCGGGGGCTGGTGGGGAAGTGGGAAAATCTGCCTATAAAATTAATGTTTCAGTTTATTTTTCAGATTACATGCCTTTCTTTATAAGGGATGCTGGCACAGACCCCTAAAATAAGATTTTGTTAGTACTATACCTTTGAAGAGTGGTGAAGGATGCTAATGGATAATCTCCTGAAAGTTGTGGTTTTGATAGCCTTACCGTGGGCTGTAGAATTGCTAAACCTTGTTTAGCAAATAATGTTGCTTAGTTTCCACTAAGTTTTGCCTTTCATCCTTGAAGCAGCAGTGTACCAAGGGTTGTAAGCTATTCAAATAGACTTTTCAATAAGTCTTGCAATGCATATGATAGTTTTTAGACTAATGTGAATTTAAATCATCTTAAAAAGGAATTGCCTAAAAACTGATATGAACATGGGGTGGGAGAGGGAATGTAGTACTTTTGGAGTATTTTTAGCCATTTTTCTCATTTAAAGAAACCACCTGCCCCCATTTCCTCTTCTCCACTTTCTCTCATAATTTTGTTTTAAGAGGAACACTGATCTGTTTTAAGGTTATTACTCCTAATCTTTAAAAATTGCATTCTCTAAGAGACCCCAGTGTATTTAATAGGTACCTTATAAGATGAACCCAGTGGCTCACATTCAGTGAAACCATAATCCTCTTGGCTTAGAACACTAATTAAACTCCTAAGAAGTACTGTAAACCCCACCACTCTATATATAGATGTATTATAACACTAATACAAACAGATAATCTGGGAAATTGTAATGTTACGCCTGTGCAATTTTTTTATAAGTGGCATATCCTGGCAGACAAAAATTTAGATACTTGGCTTTTCTTGGGCAAGCCACTATGTTGTGGCGGAATGTTTTCTGGTGTTCTTGGACTGCAATTATGCACTATTAAAGTAGTGGCCTGCTACATAACTGCATTTAGCCAGCATTTCTGCAGTGCGTAACTGTGAGGAACGTAGTACCGCAAATGGCAATGGACATTAGGACCCGGATGTAGTATTCCTGCTTGCTCCAAGATTCTCATTGCCGACTGCATACAGGTAGGTAACAAGCAATATAATCTAACTTGGTGACTTGCTATGTACTTTTATTCCGTGGGCATTCTGACATCACACTTCTGACGATGAAATTACAGTGCAGCACCTAACACTTGTATGGTAAAGCTAGTTTCTATCCAAACTGCGTGGGTTTGGGTTTAGAGCTGTAATTTGTCAGGCAGACTTCAGTGCTGTTGCAGTTCTCAGATAAAAAGTGCAAACTTGATTCTTTGGTATGTCTGAGTTGCGTGGTTTCCTTTAGTTGCATTGTAACTGAAGAGAACCTGGAGCACATCAGTGGTGTGGGGGAGAGGGAAGCAAACCATACTGGGGAAGTAGAGCGCTGTTAGCACCTTGACATGGACTGTATATAGCCTGTGATACTGAGTCTCTGTTGTAGCAAACTGACCTCCTGCCCACAGGTCAGCACTATTGATTTCAGAATGCAATCTTGGTAATTATTCTGCAGGTTGAGTGAATTAAGAGTAACAGTACAGTTTTTTTTTGTAATGTGAACTAAATTTTTTTTTTTTAATGGGCTTCACGGGAATACCTTTGTTACTAACGTGGGCTTAGGCGGGAATCTAATGTGAATAGTTCAAGTTATGTGCCTTGTCTAAATATGTATGCTCTAAACCTGGGGAAAGTGGTGTGGCATGTTGACTTGCCTGCAGTTGAAGACGTTGGGAATCATTTCCCAATCCTAAGACTTTTCGTCGTATTCTGTAGGATAACTGCAAATGTTCAGAGTAGCTTTTCGAATTTGGTTCCCTTAGCTTTAGGGATGTGATGTTATAATCCAAAGTGTTCAACAAAAGAAACAAAAAAGAGTCTTCAAAAGCACCTTCTTTTGTTGCTTAGGGCTTAATAAGCTTTTTGTAAGCTTTGCATCGACTGTTGTTCCAGACCTCAATTCCACTTAACTTTGGTCTCCGAGCTGGTTTTTAGCTAGCATGCATGAGAAGAAACAGCTTTCACGTATAATGCTTTCTGCTCTGTAACTGGAAAGTTTGGTTTACTTTGCATAAATGCCGGTGAAAACTCTTCCTGACTATGAGAATTTTCTTTCATTGTATCAAGAAAAATGGCTTGCTCCTTGGCAAGCAATTCACAAGGTGGGGACAAATTGGTACTTTAATATGTAGTCTATTTAAGCAAATACCTTGACTCTCCTGTTAGGTGAAAAAGCAAATGGTGACTAGTTTAGCTGTATATTAATAATACAATGCAGTGCAAACATAATGCTCAGTATTAGTGACAAGAGTGTCACTAAATTGACATACAACCCTGATCGGGTTTTCCTGTGGCATAATCATTAAATCGGTGGCCAACACTTGCTACCGTGATTAGTGATTCAAGTGCTTAGAAATAAAAGCTCAGGTTTATTTCTTAAGAGTCAATAACAATTTTGCAGAGAATGTACTCCTTATATAATCTGTGGACTTGAGGAAAATCATTGGGGAGGGGGGTTAATTTTGCTTCATTTCTGCTTCAAGGTGACTAGGTTTTTGCACTTTCAAATGAGAAACTTGTGACTTAAGTCATTCTTACTAGTTTCGATTTGTATGTAGCTATAATTTGTGAATTTTAGTGTAGAGGGTCTTAAAAACACTCACTCAAAAAGCTGGGAATAAATGGGTTTCAGTAACACTATACCGAGGTGCTTGCATTGTATTTCATAGTCTTTTCTTGTTACAAACCAAAATTATTTTTAATGAGAATGATCCGAGGTTCAGAAGTGTGATGCCAGAATGCGTTTTCGTACTGTTAGGCCCTTGGAACAGATACCGGTGCTTTCTGAAGGATGAAAGAAATGGAATGGGTACTCCTCACACAAGGTTGCAAAACCTACAAAGAATGCCTAAGAGTCTCATTTTTCCCCAAGAAAAGAGATGCGTGTGACTAGTTTTGGACTTTTAACCTTAATGGGGGTGCATGTCTCCTATTGTTAATCATTGTCAGCTGCAGTGACATGATCCACAGTCCTGCATTTACTGCCTTTCCCTTAATGATTTTGGACAGGTTTGAGAGAGCCAGGATGTTTGTTCTGGGCCTTTATTTGGTTTTGGCTTTAGCTGATAATGCTTCAGTGTTCTGTCAGCTAGTGCAGTTCTCAAATGGCTGCCTATTAGGGAAAGAATTCTGAGGATTTGACTGCTCCTAATCATCTGTCATTGCTGCTAGATAATGATTGGCAATTTTTAAGACTCAACTGTGGAAGTCTCACAGTTGGTAAACCATCAACCATAAAAATGTTGCTTTTGAACACCAGTGCTGAAAAGATTTTATTTGGAGGGTGAGAAGGGGGCCGGATGCAGAATAGGACAATCTGGAGAATGGGGGAGAATGCAAAACGATATAGTATCCCTTATGGATGGTACATGTGCAACAGGGAACTTTTTTTTTTTTTTAAATCCCTTGGCAGTTACGGATAATCAGGGAGGAAGAAAAACCTGGAACTTGAATCAAGGCTGATCTTTCTGGTTTTTGTGCACCGTGGCCCTGCCAGGCATATATAGTGAAGGTGAATGTCTTCTCCCTCAGAAAAACTCAGGTTCCTTGCTGTCCCGAAGAAGGCATAGCTTCCCTGCCCTAACTTAAAACTCAGTGAGGACTTGGAGGGAAAGAACGAGGCAAATACCTAGGACTGCAGGGTAACAACTGCATTGTTGTGTACTGTGGAATGGGGAGGGCACTCTTGGAGGACTCCTACTGAGGGTGGTCAGTCCACCTGACAACGGAAGACCTACTTGAATGGGGGCAGGGTATGTGCTTTTATATGAAAAGAGAGCTGATGTTAAAACTCCTTTGGTAAGGTGAACGTTGTCACATACCTTCTCATAAGGGATAGTATATTTTGGGTTGCAGTCAAACTTGATTGTGCTCAGACTGGTGAAAATAGCAGATACAGGCATTTGTATTTTAAATAAGATATAGTTTTTATTTGAATTCAGCTGTCTACTTTATTAGTTTACATAAGAGTAATTTTAGATTTTTCCCCCCCATCAAGTTTCTTCCTGTTTTTTTTTTTAAATGCTGTAACTTGCCCCCCCCAATCTTTGTCTCTGGAATTTTACTCTTTGAATTTTGAAGTTAACTAGCATTTTCAAGCCTTTATACCCTTGTCTTTTATATTAACTTTCTCTTATTATTCTTTAGGTAAGAATGATTGATGTTGGCTGATACTGGAGTACTCACTCCAAGTAAGTTTCCTTAGAAGTCCTAACCTATAGAAGACTTTTGAATGTGATTTGCTTATAACAGCTAAAAAATGTGATTTAGCATATGGGGTGAAACGTGTTGGATTTTTTTTTAAGATGTTACTTCTAATATCTGTGTTTTGTTTGAAAACAATGTGGGTATGTGTGAGTTAAGAGAGAAAAAGTGGAGACTACTCTTTTTTTTTTTTTTTTTTATTTTATTTATACATTCATGAGAGACAGAGACACAGGCAGAGGGAGAAGCAGACTCCCTGTGGGGGAGCCTGATGTGGGGCTCGATCCCAGGACCCTGGGATCAGGACCAGAGCCAAAGGCGGAGGCTCAACCACTGAGCTACCCATGTACTCCAGGACTACTCTTCTGTTTGTAAAGTTTCGAACAATAGAATTGACCAAAGGTACATGTTTGAAGGAAGCTCTGTTGTGCACCTGAAACTAATAAACATTGTATGTTAATTATAGTTCTATTATTTTTTTTAAAGATCTTTATTAGCATGGTCAGGGTGAGGTGCAGAGGGAGGAGACTCCCCACTGAGCAGGGAGCCCAATGCAGAGCTTGATCCTGGAACTCCAGGATTGTGACCTGAGCCAAAGGCGGCAGGCACTTAACCAACTGAGTCACTGAGGTGCCTTTATGTTTCAATTGAAAAAGAAGATACAGGGGTTATGTAGAGAAAAGTCAAAGAAGGCTCGAATTAGTGGAGAAATATTTTTTTAGAACTCTAAATTCCACTTTTGACACATTCAAAATCTCCCTTAAGAGATCACCCTCTCTTGTACTTATCCAGCAAATATTAGAGAACGGTCCAGTCCAAAATTCCGAAAGTGTGAGGAAAATTGAAAAGAATGTAACTGTAGTGTGTACCAGGTCTTTCTAAGCAATAAGAAGAGCAGAATAAAAAAAACCTGGGCCTAAGAATGTGCCTCTCGTTGATTTAAGAATAAGACGAAAAGTTAGTAAAAATGTAATATGCTATATGTGTTACTTTAATAAAATTAATATTTTTAATGATAGGTGGATAAGCTATTAGTCTCAAGATGACATCACACATCGTGAGCCAAGAAGGAAAGCCACGACTTGTTAGGCTGAGGAAGTGTCTAGGTAAGCTGGGTGGTTGTTCTGCTGTAAGCTGCCTTCATTTCAGAAGAACTCTTGGGTGCTACCACCATGACTACTCGCATGTGAATATTTCGTTTTAACTTACTCTACCTTAAAATTTCCTATGTAGAAAATAAGTTGTTTATATAGTATTTGAGTACTTAGAGTCATTTTAACAGCCTTGAGGTTTGTAGGCCTTGTGTTTTGGTTTGGCTCAAGCCCAGGAATGACCAGGAGTTTAGTTTTAGTTTTCAGTAAGAGTATGTACATCCATTTACCTCCCCTTCGTCCTTAGAACTGTGCAGAAGAGGGTTTGGAAAATTAAACGTTGCCTGTTTTTAACCAACTTGCTTTGTGATGAGGTCACCTAGAGTTGGTGATGTGTACTAGAGAAGGGTTGGCAGTTTTAAAGGGCAAATCAGCTCTGCTGTCGGAGCTGGGAAAGCAGTCCTAGACCGTATGTAAACAAGAGCGAGGCTGCGGCTGTGCCAATAGTTCAGACAGGTTGTAGGTGGACGGTGGCTTACTGTCTCTCATCTGATAAAAGTGACATATAAATAGATTATCACTCAGGTTTAAAGGGCTATTACAGTCATTAAAGAGTAAGGTAGAAATAGTGATAAGAACTAATGACTAGATCTTAAACCTAGGGAAGGCGACGATTGAATCTCTAAGTGGTTGCTGCTAAAGTTCTGGTGAATGGAAGTAAACTTGAATCAAGTAGCTGGTGGTAAACTAATCACCTTAGTCCATTAAATACTGCTATTACCACATTCCTTGATTAGTATTACTTTGGTGTTAGGAAGCTTACTTGATGCTAAATGGTAAATTGACAATTCTGATTCTTAACATCTTTTGGAGTAATTGTTTCTTTTGATTGGCAGGATCAGGTGAACTGTGTCGAGAAAACCAGTGAGGAAGAGGGCAAAGAGGAATGAGCAACTCAATTGTTAATAAAGACAGTTTTAAATCAGTTTGTGCTTTTGTTTTGGTTTTTAAGTAATAAGACTTTTTGTTTTCTTGAATTTTCCTTATGTCATCACCTTTTTTTCTAGGTGACATATTATGGGTGTAGAACCTGATAATTCAGGAATCTTCTTGGGCCTTTTGACAGAGCTACTTCAACATAAATTATTGATCCAACTTTATAGCCCTCCCTCAATGTCCTAACTAAACTGATTTAAGCCATCAATATTTAACAGTTGCCTTGATTTTTTTATAGATCACTTTTATTCCTAAAATTAGCATGTGACACATAACAGTTAACTCCACGCCCCTCCTTGGTTGGGTTTCAGGCATAATAGCATTTTGTTATCCCACTTTTATATTTAAAAAAAGAATTGTCAGATATGGTTATTAGGCTACTTACATAACTTCACAAAGAACCACAAACCGAATTCCATTTGGCCAAAATAACCATGTTTTGGTTACCTTGAGTAGCAATTTCTTGAAGTTAAAATGAAGCTGAATTTCATTCGCAATAAAATCTTGGGTAGATTCCTTGACTGTAGGTATAGGGAAAAGATGGTTGGAATTGACTGTACAATCTGTTTAATAAATTTGGAAGTAAAATCTTTTCTCCCTTTGCTGTGGTCATTCTTGTTGCTAAAGCATTTGTTCAGGAAATGTAGGAGGCATGTGTTTTAAAAGGTAATTTGTTGCTGTGTGTCTGGGCTGCATTACTAATGGTGCAGAATTTCAGGAAGTGCTAATTTGTTGACTTGTAATTAAGTAGAAGAAACTCAAAATTAAGAACATCCTGCTCAGTGTTAACTTGAAAAGGCACGAAGGAAGAGTTGAAAGCCACAGCAGTCACTGTTCCATGGGATTTGCTTTGAAAACCTGTGTAGTGGGTTCCAGGAAGGGAGATCAAGACCCTCTTGTTTTCCTCATGCTCTTAGTCCTGCTAAGTGGTTGGTATGTCTTCAAAGAAGAGGCCAGCCATCCCAAATTTGCAATATACTTGGTCCAACTTGACCCCTTTCTAATTGCTACCTTGGGAACCTCAGGAGCTCAAGGCAAAAGTCAGTACAGTGGTTGGGGGCATCATGGGGTCTTAACTACTGGAGTTCTGGGTGTTGAACTGTGGGCCTGGCTGCAGCATCTGCCGCATTCCCAAAGTTGCAGTTCACTCATCAGTAAAATGAACAGACCATTTTGGGCAATTAGGGTAGAAAGCGTTATACGTGGTGGTTAGCACAGTACTGGGCACAAGGAGCACATGATGTTTTAAAATCGTTATAGTCACCAGGGTTCACAGGAAGTTCAAAGGATTCTTTCCTTTATACAATGTAATTAGGTATATGAAGGGCAGGGTTTTTTTTGTTTTTTTTAATTTATTCATGAGAGGTATGAAGAGGTTGGCTTTTTTTTTTTAAAGATTTTATTCATGAGAGACACAGAGACAGAGGCAGAGACACAGGCAGAGAGAGAAGCAGGCTCCACGCAGGAAGCCTGACATGGGACTTGTTCCCGGGTCTCCAGGATCACACCCTGGGCTGAAGACGACGCTAACCACTGAGCACCGGGGAGCCCTACTATTCTTCTCTGACCTTGTGGAGTCTCCTGTGTGCACAGCTTCGTGATCTGCCAACGATTCAAAAGCTTTAAACAGATGGCTTTCTCTGTGCATCTCCCTCCATCCCGTGGTCAGTCGCACACATTGCAGCTGCTTCGGCCGCTTCAAGCAGCCATTTCTGCTCCTTTTTTTTTTCCTTTTTTTTAAGATTTTATTTATTAATAGACACAGCTAGAGAGAGGAGCAGAGACCCAGGCAGAGGGAGAAGCAGGCTCCATGCAGGGACTCGATCCCGGGTCTCCAGGATCACACCCCGGGCTGCAGGCGGCGCTAAACTGGTGCGCCACCGGGGCTGCCCATCTCTGCTCCTTAAGGCCTGCGTGGGGCCTCCTTCCTACGCGGCAAACTGGATGATGCCTCCCGGCAGATCGCTATGACAAACGACCCCTTATTACTCTTACTTGCAGGGACCACAGTACTGCGTAGCCTCTTTTCCAGTTTGTTACGCGCGGACTTGGATCTCCCGAATTCACATGCTGAAGTCTTCCCTTCCAGTACTTAGCAGAATGTGACTGAATTGGAGATCGGGCCTTTAAACGGGTAATTCAATTGGGTCGTAAGTTTGGGCTCTGAACCCGTCCGTAAGAGACTTAGAAGGACTTACTCTTAAGAGTCCTTATGAGAAGGGGAAGAAGAGATACAGGGTCACATGCCAAGGCCATGTGAGAACACGGTAAAACGATGCCATTAGAAAGCCAAGAAGAAAAAAAAAAGAAAGCCAAGAAGAAATCAAACCTGACACCTTGACCGTGGACTTTTGGCCTCCAGAACTGTGAGAAAATTAATTTATGATGTTTGAGCCATCCAGTCTGGTGTGAAGGCAGCCCTAACGAGTGCACAGTACACAACCAGTGGTTAATATGCGTGGCTGGTTCTCTGGTGCTTTATAGCAGAAGGACGGATCTGGCACCAGTGCTCTGAGGTGGGAGCTGAATCCAACACTGGCTTTACCAGAGGACAGAGCAAGTTGGACCAAGTTCTATTCACACTGGGAAACAGGAATATTTTAAAAACCGTGAATTGATACACAATAAGCTCGTGTAAAGTATAAAACTGGTAAGATTTGACATACGCATACACCACGTAAATCCTCACCACAGTCCAGGTAACGAACGTGTGCTTCACCCCCAAATCCTCCTCGAGCCTCATAGTCCTCTGACTGCCCATTCCCCTGCCTGCCGGTAGCCACCTCTGGTCTGCTTTTTTCTTTAGTTCACCCTCCCCCCTCTACTTCCTGGGAGCTCCTCCCAGATGAACTACGTATGTACATGGAAGCCCTTGTCTCAGGCTCTGCTGCTGCTTTTTAGGATTTTATTTATTCATGAGAGGCAGAGACACAGGCAGAAGGAGAAGCAGGCTCCATGCAGGGAGCCTGACATGGGACTCGATCTCGGGACCCTGGGGTCACGGCCTGAACTGAAGGCAGGTGCTCAACCGCTGAGCCACCCCAGGCATCCCTCTGTCTTTCACAAATTAAATCTTCAAAAATAAAAACATTGTTTTGCGTGCAACTTGTTCTTTTTGTAACACCTCTTCCTTTTCCATGAATGTGTAGGTTTTAAAATCTATAGCACAGTTCTATAGAAATGTAACACTGCCTATTCTTACATGTTTGATTTTTTTTTTTTTTTTTTTTTTGTATTTCATTGCTCGTGCTGGGCTCTCCCAGCACCCTGACATCATGACCCAAGCTGAAGGCAGACGCCCAGACGATTGAGCCACCCAGGCGCCCCTCTTCCATATAATTTTTAAAGTATTTTAGGGAGTGTGCATTGGGGGAGGGGCAGAGGGAGAGAACCCTCAAGCAGACTCCCCGGGTAGTGTGGAGCCCAACGTGGGGCTCCATCCAGGGCCCTGAGATCCTGACCTGAGCCAAAACCAAGTCTGGTGCTCACTCGCTGAGCCCCCCCAGGTGCCCTGTGGGGTGCCCCATCTTTCTGATTCTTGTTGCTCCTACCCTTTATGCCCTCCGGACTCTTCACCTCACCATCTTTACATTCTCTCACTCCTCTTGTCTCTGCTTTGAGCCTTAATTCCCTCAGGCTCCATGTAGGGAGCCCTGATGTACACGGTCTGCTTGCAGTTCTTCTCTTCTACCATTTTCTTTTTCTTCCCTGGACAAAGCTGTTGCCTGTGGTCATTTCCTAATTGCCTTCTCTCTTGTGGGTTTTCATCCTCACTTAATACCCTTCTTCTTTCATCTCCTTCCCTCTTTTCCCGCTTTTTTTGTTTTTTTTTTCTTATGTTTTATTTTACGCAGCCATTACTTGAGCTTGGTCTTCTTTCTTTCTTTCTTTTTCTTTCTTTCTTTCTTTCTTTCTTTCTTTCTTTCTTTCGCTTGGTTTTTCTCCCTTCCTTCCTTTTCTTCCTTTCTTTCTCTTTCTTTTTCTTTTGAGAGAGAGAGAGTGTGAGCACAGAGGGAGAGGGAGAAGCCGACCTCCACTGAGCAGGGACCCTGATACGGGCTGAATCCCAGGATCCTGAGATCACGACCTGAGCAGAAGGCAGACATTTAACTGACACTCAGGTGCACCAAGTATGAATTTTTTTTTATAGGATAATGAATTCAAATAGTGTCTTCTGTGAATATGAAGTCTCCTACACAATCATATTTTTCTCAATTTGAAGATACTTGAGATCCCAGGAAGTAATCAGCTAATTCCAAAGTAGGATTTATTAGATCTGGATTAAAACTCTTACATTTAATTTTCTTGTAGGAAAAGCCCCTAAATCTTACCCTCTGAGCTCCTTAATAATAGTTTAAGGTAGCTTCAGCAAGCTTGTTAGTTCTGTAAGCTAACAAATCAGAAGCAATAAAGTAGAAAAAGGACTGCTTTGGGGTTCCTGGAGTATGCGACTCTTGATCTTGAGCTCGTGAGTTCGAGCCCTGTGTTGGGAGTAGAGATTACTTTAAAAAAAAAAAAGAAAAAAGAGAAAGGGCTGATTTAGCATGCTGGTGGTGAAGAGTACCTGCCAAGTGTTTGCTTCTCCCAAGAGGCTCTTCTCTCTGCAGAGAATGTCTTGTTTCCTACCAAGGGAACTTCTATTAGCTCTTAGAGGTTTGCCTCAAGAGCTACACATATCACCACCCCTTATCCAGCAAGTGAATCAAGTACATTGCTCCTCTCAATTCCTATACTGCTTTAAACATAGTTCTTATAAAGCATATCAATTTTTTTTTTTTTTTTTTTTTTTTTTTTTTGTGGGGCAGCCCGGGTGGCTCAGCGGTTTAGTGCTGCCTTCAGCCCAGGGCCTGATCCTGGAGACCGGGGATCGAGTCCCACGTCGGGCTCCCCATATGGAGCCTGCTTCTCCCTCTGCCTGTATCTCTGCCTCTCTCTGTGTGTCTCGAATGAATGAGTGAATGAATAAAATCTTAAAAAAATTTTTTTTGC